TCTACCACGTTTTTCACCCATATTCGACGAAGAACAGGAAGCGAATGACATAAAATTATCAATGTACAATAATAATAATAATATACAATTTATTTGCTTCATATTATAATCCTCATATGATTTAAAAATAAAACATCKAAAACCAATGATTGAATAATTTCTAGAAGTATTAATAGAAATACGTCAATACTTGTATTTTAATTGTTACTGAAATAAAAATAGCATTGTCGACTTGTCGTCTTTTATCACAAAAGCCATAAAGTAATAATTGTGACTCATAAAATATCCTATCTCCTGGGTAAAAATTACAATTACAGTATTTAGTTATTTATAATGCTGAAATGACGTACTACGTCATAGAACCGGGAAAATGCTTTGGTGGTGCTGGGGTAACGTTACCCTGGCACCCCAGCGGGAAAATTTATTTTTCGGATGGAAATATGTTGGTACAAATTCCAAACTTGGTGTTTCTAGTTGGTACAAATTGTAGTACAATTAATGAAAAAAAAAAAAAATTAAAAAAGTTCATTATTTAGGTTTGGTGGTGCTGGGGTAACGTTACCCTGGCACCCCAGCGGGAAAATTGATTTTTCGGATGGAAATATTTTGGTACAAATTTCGAAATTGTCGGTACAAATTGGTACAAATTATAGTACAATTAATGGTTAAAAAAAAAATGAGAAATTCGAACATAGGGGTGCCAGGGTAACCCACCTCTCAACTTCCACCCCCTAAAAAGCTAAAAACAACAGTAGTGGGGCGGGAAAACGTGTCTCCTTCCCCACCTACGTCAAAAATTAATTTTTTTAAACTTTTTTAAACCCCAATATTTACTATACTACAAAATGTAATACTACAATAATAAAAAAATGTATATTATTAAAACTACTATTAGAAAACATTTATACAAGTAACATAGATTTTTTAATTATGATATATTATGATAATATTKATATATTCAAATYACGTTTAATGTTAAAAATTTATACTTCAAAATTCATTGTTATTTGTTGTTGTAAATATTAGATAATAATTTTCTTATATACCCTGTTATCATTGATAAATGKAGTTGTATCAGTGATTAACCTATCAGTATCAAACTCATCCTTGTTCTAGATAAATGCATGCTTCATCTTCATCAATAGCACAAGCCAGCATAAAATTAAATTGTTCCTGAAAACCTATAAAAATATATATATATTAATAGAAATAGGAAGTAAATAATAAGAAAARATATTTTTAACAATTAAAATTGAGTTMATTTTTTTTTATTTTACCTATTTGATTTATTACTAAAAATATGCGATTATTAAAATCGGATCGATAGAGGTGTAATTGTTCACTTGAGTAATAATCATAGCCGAAATTTGGTCAAATTATTTTTTTTTTTTGAGGGGGAGGGATAAATTTATAAAATCAAAACAGACCCGCAGGTGCTTCACCCCCCGCACCACTCACTAATTTTTATAATTTTTACGGCAATAATATATTACACAACAATTAGTTTGGTAATCAACAGTTAAAACAAAATACTTTATAAATGAAATACAATAATATACTACTAAAGTAGGTACTCAACATCTCAATGCTAATTAATTATTTATTTGTAATTATAATTTATAATTGCAAACGGTGATTTGACATAACAAATTTATTTAATATAAGATTCAATATATATCTTCATTATAAGACTACTATGTCTTTTTCTATAAATATTACAGAAGCATTAAAAAACCCATCTTGAAAGTTTCCAATTTTTTTAGTTTTTTTTTTCTATAGATGTCTATAACATTTTATTTGTTGGGTAAAAAAAGCTTTAAAAATTATACAAG